AGGGAGGGAGCGGCTGCACCCCAGGACCCCATCCCACCCTACCCCGGGGTAACTCGTGCACTTCCGAAGAGGCCCTTCTGTCTCTGAACTGGAGCCGCTGCGCCCCGAGGACAGAGTCCAGGAGGATGTGAACGTCGGAGCCCCAGGCTCAGTCGGAATCCAAACCCTTCTCGCATTAGTGCGGCACTGCGCCGGCCTCGGAGGGGCGGGAGGCTGGCCGAGGACAGGGGGAGGGGGCCGTGGGAGCCCGGGCGCGCTGCGGGCTGGGGCGGGAACTGCGGGGCCTCGTCCGCGCGGGTCCCCGGCGGCACCCCCGCCCTGAAGGCGCGCCCCCCGCGGGCGGGGTCCCACGGCCCGGCCGCGCGGGTTAAGGCCCCCGCCACTCGTAGGACCCCGCGCAGAGCTGCCGGGAGGCGCCGCAGACCCACGCGCGGAGGCGGCGGGCCGGGGCGGTGGCGGGAGGGCGGCCGTGACTCAGAGCCCGCCTGCGGAGCCTTAAAAGGGCAACCGCTTCCGGTGGGGGGGGGCTCCTCCGCCCGTCCCAGGGCGCACCCCGGTGCCCCATCCAGCGGTTTCCTCCCGCCAGGCCCCCTCCTCCTCCTCTCCCCCTTTTGGGACAGTTGTTTCAAGCCTAAAAAGTCTGCTCAAGCACCTCCTCCTCCTCCTCCCTGATCCCCATCTTTAAAAAAACACCCCACTTCTCGGTGATAGCGCGTCCTTTCCTTCACCCTCAACTCCTCCGAGCCACGCAGGGCCCACCGCTGTCCTGTGCTGTCCTCAGAGCATTCTTTTAAAAGCAAGGAGCTGTCTATGTGCGTATCATTTCAAACTTAAAGAAGTTGCAAGAGTATTTATTACAAAGAACCCCCAGCGCTTTGCCCAGACTCCCCACTTGTGAAACATGGTGCCGTATTCGTTTTATCATCATGCTCTCACCAATATACATATGAATTGTTTTTCTAAACCATTTGCAAGTAAATTGCAGGCGTCTTGTCTCTTACCCCCCTCAATACTGGGCTGTGCTTTTTACTAAGGACAAGAACATTCATGGCAGAGTTAGCAGTCAAAAAAGAAAAAGACCCTTAGGGATGCCATGACCTCTGAGCTGCCCAGTCCAATGGCTTTGGAGGGATCATTTAGCTTTGCCTTTCTGCCCCTTAAGTCTCTGCGTCTATCTGCTGCTGTGTCTCCGTCTTGGTCTCCTCTGATTCTCTTCTTTCATGGGCTCCTGGGAGGTGGTCTCTGTAGAGTCCAGCTTTCCATCTCATTTTACAGCCTCTCCCTGGAAGAGGCCATGGACTCCTGTGGGGTCAGTTGTCATCCATACTCAAGAGCACCAGGCCTTCAGCCTGAGTCCCCTTCTAAACTTCCACTGAACATCCACAGCTTTCCAGGAGCTGCCCCCCGAATCGCTCACTCCTCCACTCACTGTGGTTAAGTGGACATGTCACAGAAGTGGACTCATTTTCCCTGCACACTCCCCACGCTGTCTCCACAGGGCTCTCTAAGCAGAAAACCTCCCTCCCCCTGGATTCTTCACCCCCCAGACTCTCGCCCAGTTCCGGGTCACAAGCCCTGGCCTCCTTCCCAGCTCCTCTCTCTAACCTCTTCTGTTCCTACAAAGTCCTCCTGGGTCAGACGTGCACCGTACACCACCAGGAGGGTGTCCTTAGTGTGCAGGGCCCTGTCTTGATTGAAACCATTGCCTCCAGGGTTCCTCTACTGGGTTCCAAAGATGGGAATCTTGGGTCCCTGTAAAGGTATTCAAGTGTCCAGGGGAAGCATTTTCTAGGTAAAAGCTTATACCTTTCATTACATTTTTAAAAGAATTTGTGACTTCTCCCCCCAAAGAAAAGAAGTCTGAGTGTTACAGTTAAGGTTCCTTATAGGATCCAAGGCCATTTACTTTTGGCTCAATCCAGCTTTCCCAGCTTGGTTCCTGGACTTCCCTGGCACCCTGCGTGCCCAGCCCAGAGCTTCCTGAATTCGCCGGTCACAAGAATGACCAGAGGCGGTGGGTAAAAATTCAGATTCCGGGGCCCCTTCCCTGGGGATTCTGGCTCAGAAGGTCTGAGTGGTGGCATTGGGGTGGTGGTGCAGGGAGCCCCATAAATCTGTATTTAATGAGTAGGATGTTTTTTGGGGGAAACACTGGGCTAAAGTCAGTTAAGGGCTTTCTGGCCTCCACCACAGTTCCCTCTACCCTCCCTCTCCACTGATAAATTTCTATTTATCCCTCCATGTCCAATCAAACATCAGTGCCTGGGACGAAGTTTTCCCTGATCAGTCTGTGTCACAGAGGTAAAGGCAAATCTGCTGTGACAAGGAGGCCCCAAGCACTTGGGCAAACGGAGGGAGCTGTTACTGTCCCATGTGCCCTAACAGCCAGCTAGTGTGGGGCCTAGCAAGGCAGTGCTGCCCCTGTGTCCTTCCTGTTTCTGCCACCTTCCAGGGCTGTGTCCTCATGCTGTGGTTGAGGCTAGGTCCCTGCCAAGCCTGTTGGCCTGCAGAAAGGGAATAGGTAAGCAAGGGGGGTGCTCAGTGCCACAAGGCCCTACTAGGAAGCTGCAGGTCTGCCTGGGGCTGCGACAGCCAGAACTTGGTGAGGCAGCCCCATGAGCTGCAAGGGAGGCTGGGAAAATGTGGTTTCCCGCAATAGCTGGGGCAGAGTCCGGACGCCCACCTCAGGGTGGTGGATTAGATGGATCCTAGAACCCTCCCAGTCCCAACCTGCTGCAATCAACTCCGTCAGCTCTGTCAATCACAGTGTTTTCCATCCATGGTAATTCAGAGTATGTTGGTTCTTCCACTCAGCCAACCTATGCGTAGCGCTTCCTGGTCCAGGCACCTCTAGGAGCTGAGCACCTAGTCACGTGCTAAGGAGGCCCCTGCAGTGTGCATCCTGGATGGTAAACACCCCAACAGGAAAAACAACTCCCAGACAAGAGCCAGGAAGAAAGTGAGAGGACAAGATGAGAACCGAGGGCCTGAGGGCCAAGGAATGCTTCTCTGACAAGGTGACAGGTAAACGGAGGCCTGAATGACAGAAGGGACAGCTGGGAAGAGCTTTTCCAGCAAAGGAAACCAGTCCAGGGCTGGTGTGTAAGAGGTAGCCAGGAGCAGCCAGTGTGGCCGGAGCAGAGTGGGCAAGGAGAGCGAGACAGGAGACCCAGGTTAGGACCAAGTGGCATGGGCTGCACAGACCCAGGGCTGGGCCCCGCTCACAGGACAGACATGAGGTTCTGTTGAGATTGTTAGATAGTTATCATAGCTTCTCTGCAGAGGGTGGATTCTGTAGAGTCAGAGTGGAAGTAGGCATGTGATGGGCCCACTGTAAAGCGGATGGAGCTTTGACTAGAGTGACGGCAGCAGAGCTGAGAAGTGGTGCCTCTGTGTTTCATAGGGAGCCCGTGGGTCTTCTCCCTAGATAGCTACCATGGCCTCATCTCCTATTGCTGTTAATACTTATTCATTACATCCCCCAAAATAAAGGACATGACCTTCGTGGCGATCAGTGTGACCTCCCACCTCACAGGGGCCTCAGGTTGCATCTCTTCTTTGACTTTGCAGATTATACTCATGGGTGGGCTTCTCAGATCAGCCTTAATCACTCTTGGGGTAGTAATCACAGGAGATGGTCATGGATACTGGCCCTGCCTCGACCAGGCTTAATCCCTTCAGAGTGACAGACAGTGAACGAAAACAGAAATCTTAAGTGACGCCTGCAAGAAGTAAACAATGCTAGGAGGACACACAAGAGGGACTTGGACCCACCAGGCGCAGTCAAGGAGCGCTTTGAGGAAGTGCTGCAGGAGCTGAAACCGGAAGGAAGTAGTGGGGTAGGGGTGGAGGGCATGGGAGGGGCAAAAGCATGTGCGAAGTCTCCGGGGCAGGGGCGTCATTGAGCAGATAGGAAGGCAGGATGGGGACAAGTGCGGGTGGGTTTGTAGCTGGAGACAGAGGCATCCCTTATGATATCTGTAGGTCGTCAGTAAGGAAGCAGGTCAGAGTCTTGAACAGACAGCATTTGATAAAGGCATTTTCAAAACCATATTTCCCAGACTATTCCTAGTTTGAGGAAAAGTTGTGTTACTGAAAATGTATATTTGACCTAGAGAGGGTAAGTTTTATTTGAAGCCAATGGTTTATATTAATGATCCATGTTCTTCTGAGATGTCTCCGTTAGCCCAGAAGAGATCATATAAAATCAGTCTGGCATTTCCAAGTATGGCACCGACATCCTTGGATAGGTTCCTTAATAGTCCCCTAAAGAGAGAGGAATAGTCCCCCAGAGCCCTGTCACTTATTTAGCTATTGTTTCACCCTGGTGAAAGTTCCAGGGCAGCCCAAAGTTTGCCCCAAACTGCTGAAAGTCAGTTCAAAGGAGGCCTTCCATATCTGTGGATCCAGAAACCTCACCTACTAACTTTTTCTTTATTAAAAAGAGAAAATGGCTCATTAGCTAGTGGGACTCTATTACCCACTGGAATACAGATGTGGCCACCCCCCCTTATTTTTTTTTTTACTATTAACTTAGAGCACCTAGAAAAAAGTAAGCCCTTCCCTGCTTTTTAAAAGAGTTCACTGGAGAGAAATTGCCACATTGCAAAACTTGTGAAATGCCTGCCAATTAGGAAAAAGTTTCTATAACCTAGAGCAATACGTATATAAAAGCAAAATAAAAAAAAACAAAAACTGGAGAGAGGAAGATGCTTAAATACATAATGCTTTAAAATTAAAATGATTTTTCTTGATTAAAAAATAACTTGGATCTGATTTAAAAGAGAAAACAAACTACAGGCAGTCAGGGCCCCCAAATTTTTTTTCTACAAACACTAAAAACACTGATGTTAGAAAAGAATGTGTGTGTGTGTGCTGGGGGAGGGGTGCATCAGTGCACACTTTCAGAAGTATGGAAGTGTTGCTACATAATGAAATCACATACCCTTCAACTCTGGAAATTTATCCCAAGACCTAATTTGAATTTTAAAAAACCCAAGTTGTATGTACAAGATGTTTATTGCTTCGTTATTTGCAATATTTTAAAGAAGTTAGACTGCATCCTGGATAGAATAGCAGCAGGGCATTATGTGTGAGTCAAATGGTCCGACGGCGTGTAGAATCAGTGAGGCGTGGAGGAGGGGTTCGGGGTAGGAGTGCACTGCAGATAGGGTGGCGGTGATCTGTTCTAGACAAGAGATGAGGAAGTCTGTAGCCTGGAGATTACAGAGGAGAGCTTGGTCAAAGGGTCATTTAAAGGATCATTTACAGGAGCTTGGGGAGACAGAAGGAAGAATCTAGAATGGGACTCGGTTTGGATGGGTGGTGGTAGAGCCCAAGAGCATGGAGAGTAGGGGTGAATGAGTCTGGTGCTGGCCTGTCTGAACATTTGGGGGCCGAGGGAGGAGGCAGCCTGACTGTGGTATGCTGAGTTTGAACCCCCTGTGGCATATCCAGGTAATGACATCCAAGGAGAGGCCGAGGAAAGGGGGTTGGGGCTGAGAGGAAGGTGGCAGGAGATAATAAACAAATGTTTTCCAAAAGGGATGTAAGGCCGTGAGTGGCTTCCTCCTTCCCGCATCTCAGGCTTTCCTCCTGCTGGGTTTCAGAGGCAGCTGTACTGTTCACTCTCCAGGTAAGTCTCTCTTCCATGAACTTACACATGCTCCACTTTTTCTTACTTCTGCATTTATTTCCTCCCTTTCCATTTAAAAGTAAGTACTTCTCCCCAAGTAACCCATTTTTACTGTAGAAAAAAAAAAACCCTAGAAAATACAGGTAATTAGAAAGAAAAATTTAAGTCACAAGGCATTGTGGTGTGTACCCTTCCAACTTTACACACCCATCAAGTGTCACCTGCTAATTGGATGGGTTTCCTCCCCATCACACACGCTCGGTGCAGCCTCTTCCAAAGGAACCCTCCTGCCCTGCTGGTGGGAATGTACATTAGTTCAACCACTGTGAAAGCAATATGGAGGTTCCTCAAAAAAACTACAAGTAGAAATACCATTTGACCCAGGAATTCCACTCCTAGGAATTTACCCAAAGGAAACAAGATCTCAATTCAAAAAGACATATGCACCCCTATGTTTACTGCAGCACTATTTACAATAGCCAAGATACAGAAGCAACCTAGGTGTCCATCAGCAGATGAATGAATAAAGAAGAGGTGGTACATATACACAATGGAATATTATTCAGCCATAAGAAGAAAATAAATCCTACCATTTGCAATGACATGGATGGAGCTAGAGGATATTATGCTCAGTGAAATAAGCCAGGCGGAGAAAGACAAGTACCAAATGATTTCCATCATTTGTGGAGTATAACAATGAAGCAAAACTGAAGGAACAAAACAGCAGCAGACTCACAGACTCCAAGAAGGGACTAGTGGTTACCAAAGGGAAGGGGTTGGGGAGGATCTGTGGGAAGGAAGGGAGAAGGGGATTAAGGGGTATTATGATTAGCAGACATCATGCAGAGGGGTCACGGGGAAGGCAGTGCAGCACAGAGAAGACAAGTAATAACTCTATAATCTTACTACGCTGATGGACAGTGACTGCAGTGGGGTGGGGGGGACTTGATAATATGGGTGAATGTAATAACTGCAATGTTGCTCATGTGAAACCATTATAAGATTGTATATCAATGATACCTGAATTTAAAAAATATTTTGTTAATTATAATTTATTAATATTAATTATGATGTATTAATATAACTACTAAATTATTTGTACTGTTACTTCTCAAAAAAGTTGAATAGTTGAATGTATTCATATAAATGTACTTTTTACCAAAATATTACTTGGTGGGTGATATTTTATAGTGCATTTTCCTCATGTATTAATACATCGTGAGCCATCTTTACGTACCCATGTCGATCCATACGGTCCCTTCTGATGTACCTAGTATTGAATTCAATCATATGGCTGAGTCAAAATTCATCTCAATTCCTGCTTTTGGGACATTTAAGGAATTTCCAGGTTTTCTTGAATTTCCTGCTTTGACATCTTTATACATATATGTCTGGTTGCTTCTTTGATTATCTTCTAAAAATGGAATTGCTGCATCAAAGAATATGCCAGATTTTCAGCTTTTGATGAAGGTCAGCAAACTGTCTTCCAAAAAGTCTATTTATACTTTCAAACCTTCTTTGCTCTATAAAAAATTTTTTTCCTATTACAAAACTAATTGATAGTAACTATAGAGAGAATGCAGATAAGCAAATAAAGGAACTGCAAGGCTCCTACCATTCCAATTTGCAGCTTTGTAACCCTCTTAGGTGAATCCGTTACTAGCTGTGTGGATTTAGATGAGTTCCTGAATGTCTCGGAGCTCCTGTTTCCGCATGTCACAGGTTGTCATAACGATGCATAACAAACAGCACAGATTCTCAAGGTGTGTTCCTGCAATTCCGTTTGCACCTTGCTTTCCTGTGCTGGTGATAAAACAAATATCTTCCCCATGTACCAGGTGGGCACCTCTGGCCCCAGTCTTTTCCAGGCACTTCAGCCCTATAGCTCCAATCACAGACCGTCAATACCCCCCATGCTATTGTGGGTGTCAGGTTTTCATTTGGTTCTAGACAACCTGGTTACAAGCGCCTCCTCTCCACCTGCCTGGCCCACATGAACCACCGTCGTCGGTCCCGGGCACCCAGGAAGAAGCCACTAGAACACCTCCCTCCCTCTCCCACCAATTAACTGTGTTTCCAGCCATTCTGTTAGCCCCACCGTACTGGGTGTGCCTGGAGTTAGACAGACCTCAGTTAAAATCCCATCCAGGCTGTTTACATGCTGTGTGACCATGAGCAGTGTCTTGCCCGTTTCCCCAACAGTAAGATGGGGTGACAGCAGGCCTGCCCCTTAGGCAAAGAAGAATGGGGAGTGCTTGGCATCTCCAAGGGGGCTGCATTAGCACCCCTGCCATCACCCTCGCCGCCATCTCCCTCGCCTCTGTTGTGGTTCCAGAGCAGCCCCAGCCCCCTCGCAGCCCCGACAGGCCTCCTGACCAGTTCCCACCTTCAGCCTTTCCGGAGGCCAAGCCCCAGAGGGCCTCCAGGACGACCTTCCCATGGCAGGTCTGGAGCATGTCACTCCGCCCAGGACTCTTAATGGCTCCCGAGCACCTACGAACTAAAGCCTGGACTGTGCTGACACGGTTTCCACAGCCCTGTGTCTGCTTCCAGCCTGGTCATTTTCCCACCTGCTCCCCAGCCATCCTGGCCCCCAGCTGTCCCCATCTCTCTGTCCCCTGCCCTTTCCCACCCCTCTTTGTGATGGCCCCACCATCTGGACAGACCACCGTTTCCCAGGGTGCCAGCAGCCTCCCAGTCCAGCTCGCACACCCCGCTTGGAAGGGTCCTCCTAGTCCTCTCCAGTGGAGTCCAAGCCCCACCCTGTGCCCCACATTTGTGTGCTCTCCACTGCATTATTGGGAGGGTCCAGTCTCCACCGTGACACTGCCCTGCTGGGCAGCACATACCCTTTTTGTTCACAGCTGCACCCACCCCCCCTGACCCCAGTTCCCAGCCACAAACCTTCAGTGTTTGTTTGTTAACTGCACTGTTAATAAATAACATTCCTGTGGGATTTAGATGTACGAAAGTGTGCCCACAGGCCAAAGATTCTGCAGAGGCCATTTACCTCTCCTGTGACTTATTCTGAGATGACAGGGCAAAGAAAAACACTGCAACAGCCCTCACCAGAGCTGATGCACCTATGTGTGCCCACGCGCCCGTGGTGACACATGCGTGTCCTGACGTCATGTTGCTATTTTTCATGACTATGAGATGAGCACAGAACACACACAACGTACATCTTTCTTATCCATGAAAAGGCAAGAGAGCAGTTGCTAATAATGCTTGCCCACTCTCCCCCTGGGGCAGGATAATCGAGCTGTACTATAAAGAGAGGGGTGGGGCTCAGACATGTGCACCGCCTTTCTTTCCTAAAGGCATGTAAGTTTCACGTAAATCTGTTTCGTCCTGCTCAGAGATGATGCAACGTGTCCAGAAAGGAAGTGGGGAGTTGCCGTACTGCTACAAGCTAAGGAATGTCACGTCGCTCACTCAAGTGTTCTTCACATTCCCAGAAATAGGTCTTGGTTGAAAAGGAGGTGGATGACTCACTGTTCCCTTGGCTTTCCACAGATCGACCGCTGAGCTGAGCAGTGCTAACGAGGACAGGCTGGAGGAAAGAGCAATTAGTTCCTGTTGCTAAGACAGAGTGTCCCCCGTGTCCCCAAATCTGGGGGCTGCTGTGGCACTGGCCATGCAGAAAGAACCAAGTAGACACAGTACAGCTTTTCAGAACTGAAATAAGGGGGCCCTAAGTCCTTGTGTTCATGTAAATTCTTAGCCACCCAGATGTACCAGCCCGAACTCGCTGAATTCAGTCATGGTTCTGAGTAATTGCTTTGCAGAATCCAGCGCTGGGGGAGCTCCGCGTTTAGAACAGGCTCCTGCAACATCCTTCTCTTCTCTCTCAGAGATCTTGAGTTTTAGTCCAACTTGGCTATTCCTTCCTGGTCTTTGTATTTCCTCCATCCTTAGTCTCCAAAGTAAACCTTTTTCTGGTAGAAAGACCTGGAAAATTGTATCAAGGGCAAGAATTTGGCACCTGTCCCTGACAATGAAGTAAATGCTTTGCAGGGGTTTTATGATGTTCCAGAGAGCGGCCACCTGTTCCTTCCCACCCACCTCTGGGCGCCCGGCCACGGGGCTAATGATTTGGGAGCCAGGACTGGTCGCCAGCCTGCGCCACACGGCTTTGGCCTTGTCAGAGGCCTCTTCTGACTCACCGTCCGCATGCACCCCGTCCTGCCAGCCTGCTGGTCGTCCTGTTCCAAGGCCAACAGCAGTTCTGAGAGGTGGACACCACCTCCACCTCGGGCTTTATTTATGAACTCCTGTTTCCAAACACATATTTATTTACTCAACTGGAAGAGAGAAAACTGATTTCCCAAGGCTGCTTCCCAAATCCACCAAAAGTAAGGGAGGGCAGCCCCAGCCCTTAAGGATCCATGAGATTCTCACCAAAAATAAATTAGTTTGTGATGAGAAGCCCGGCAGGAAGCAGGTGGGCGCCTTGCCGTCAGCAGCGGGCAGCCCGGGTATCTCATCTTCACCTATCACAGAAACGCTCTGCCCTGTGACTCAAAATGCTCTTGTCCGTGTGGCACCAATAATGACAGCTCTTCTCGCAGCCGCCGCCCGTGGTGGGGCCTGCAGCCCCCAGGATGTGACTGTGAGGCGGCGGAGTGGAGGCTGGAGGCTGGGCTCACGGAGGTGCACAGGCTGGCGATGCTCCAGCTCCCCAATCTGGCTGTGAGGCCTGGGGCTCATTAGGTGAAGACGGGGAATAATAAAACGCCCACCTCCTAGGGCTGTGATCCCAACGAAACTACTTCCTGTTTTTGTAAAGTGCCTAGAACCGCTTGGTAAATAAGCGAACACCATGATTCCCTCCCTAGGGAGCATTTATTATGCAGCGGTGTTTTCAGACGTGTGGCTCACCCTCTCAAAGCTTCATGGCCTGGAGTCTTGGCCCACGGGGTCTCTGAGGGTTACATCCCACCACTACACCAGAGCTGAGTGTTAAACTCCAGCTGAGCCCAGCACAGGGCGGGGAGGTCAGAGGCCAACTGCGGTTCAGAAGGCAGAGCAAGGCAGCCCATGCCGTCCAAAGATGCGGCCCTGAATGGCGGGGCTCGTGTTTACCAACGAAAGACTCTGGTGCTGGGGGAGGCACAGTCGCAGCCCCTTTCCCACCGCTCTCAGAAGAGGGCCCCTTCTAGGGGGAATCAGCTCTAAGAAATGGCATCGTTCACTTTTTAACCTGAAAATTCTTCGGACACCAGCTGAGACAGAGTCCTGACGGACAATCAGGGACCAGACCCTCCAGGACAGCCTGTAGCCAAAGGCTGCAGAAGAAGTCAGGCCCGCGTCCCCCACTGACCTGGAGCCCCCGCAGAGGTCCCGAGGGTGGCTCACTGCCACCCAGGCCCTGCTTGCTGGGCCTGCGGTGGGGCGGATGTACGGGGCCCTTTGCCCTGAGGGCAGCCGCCTGCAGGGTTTAATGCTCTGCGATTCACAGTCTCCAACTTATTAATAATTTCACCCCTGACCTTACAGTTTGTAGGCGAAGGTCCATGGGATGATGGAGTGTGTGTGGTCGGGGGGACGGGGTGGCGGGGAGGTGTGCTGGGAGCCTCACGTGTGGTCACGCAGGGTCCACCTCTCCGACTTCCTCACTTCGAACAGAGATTAGGCAACATGATTTTCTAGGTCTTTCCTGTCTCTAAACTATTTTAAGATTCCGAGTTCATGATAAGGCCCATTTTCTGCTTGTGAAAATCTAGGTGGTAGATATAATATCCTCCCGTTTCCCAGCAACAAAGAAACTTTTGTATTTATTGGCGGTGGGAACCAATGAAAAAGGATCTATGTTAGAAGTGCCAGTCTGTGATCCAGATTGATCTGAGAGAAATTTCATTTATCTTGGGCTTGGTAAACATTGCTCCTGCCCTGGGTTGAGAAGAATAAAGAAGGCAATGTATAAATCAGGAACATATATTACTAAAACCCTCTTCATAATGATGTGCCGTAACTGTGCTGCTTATAAATTTGTGTTATTGGGAAATGGATTGAAAACATAAGGTTTAATTTATCATCATATTCTAAATGAGCTAACATCCTAGCAGTCCTACCGTGGACTGCTGACTGAGAGCTGAATGAGGTTTGTGCACACTGGAGCCTACATTGTTATTATTGGCCAAAAGACCACAGAAATATGTTCAGGAAAGCTCTAAGCAAGTTTTAGATTGCTGGTTGAAATTACTCCTTCTATAGCATCACATGAGTCCACAGTCACCCAGAGAAGAAAAATCCACCTGCTCCATGTCCTGGATATTATAAAATATCCCAGCAAGAGATATAAAAAGAGATGCAAATTTCCCCAGCGCGGAGTTCTTCAGAACACTACAATCCTACTGCTTTCATGTGGAACCGTTCCTGGCTGGAAATGAGCGATCTGGCCCGTCCAAACCCACGTCTAATATTCAACACCTTTTTCTTTACCCAAATCTGTGCCAGACAATTTTCCACCCACAAGGAGGAGGCTCATATTCAAAATTCCCTAGTTACCTTTCCCTAAAATGGGACATAAATTCTAAGAAGCAGTATTATCCCCTTATCAAATGGGCAATAAATTTTAAAATTTGAGATCGTACACACAGGGGGACCTGCAATGTTGGCTTGTGAGATTTCCATATCTTGACAAATACTTCCTACGCTTCAGACTGTTTTTATGCGTGTACCTGGAGAGGGGTTTTGGCGAAATTCAGAGTATTAATGTTCCTGTCTGGCGTCCAATGTGATGAACTACCCTTCCCCGACAGAGTGTTGCCACTCTTTGGCCTGTTACATGCCAGAGACCAAAGTTCTAAACAGCTCAATGGGCCCCAGTGAGCAAAACCATAATTTGGGATAGTTGGGATTTCAGAAATCCTGTTATTACAGATTGTCAGGCTGGCCCACGAAAAGGGCCAGGCAGCAATGGGAAAAGAATATAGGGGGAGGGCAGTTAATCACCAGGAAAATTAGTGAAGGCATTAAAGATTGCATCGCAACAACGGATACTTAAGATGGTTTAAAGCCTCTACACTGTATTCCTTCTGGTCCAAACTGTTTCCTAAAACGGTGACATTAGCAGCGAAGGGATTTCTTCCTTTACTCTGATGGTGTGGCTGCAGGTCCAAGATGTCTTGAAAGAAAAAGAGAAGACAGAGGCTTCAATTTCACCCCCCAGAAATCTTCTCTAATCTTGCAGCAGATGCAGCAACTGGGGCAAAAATGTGATGGAAAGCAAGAAGCCATTCTCTTCTCTTCAAAGATGTGACTGGCAAAGACCCCCAGGCCTGCTTAGCTAGGCTCTGGCCAGCTTCAGGATCAATACTTCTCCCCCAGTGAACCCAGTCTGCAAAAAATGATTGGGACTTCCTGTCCATCAGTGTTCCAGTTGCAAAACCAGGAAAATTATTTAAACCCATTTTATAGAAGTATTGCAAGGAAATGCTTGAGAAGTACTTTACCTGTAGCTAATTGTCACTTAAATGCTTAAGATGGCTGGGCCCGAGGGAAGCCTGTAAAGTCGCAGCCTCTAGGCCAACTCACCTGCTGGGAATCCGTTGTGGGAACATTGGTAAACGGTCCACCTGAGGGCCCTCGTGAAATGAACACAGAAGGAAACCAGGCCAGAGCCTCCACTTTCAATAATGCGGTGCTAAACTGGGAGGCCAAGTACTTCTAGCCTTTTTCTTGGCCCGCTGCACCGCAGAAAGCATTTTTGCTCTGCTACCGTTTGCTCTGTGTCTTGGTCATCACAGACATTTTAGAGCTAGAAGGAGTTTTAGGGACATTCTAGTCCTGGAGCTAAGTGGTAGCGAGCTCTCTGTGACTCAGGTCTTTGTCCAAAGGAATCAGCTCAATCCCCTGCAGCCCACGCAGGAGCCCTGCTCACTGCTTCCACGACAGGGCACACAATGACGTAAGAGCATTCTCCCTCAGCCCGGTTGAAACGGGCTATTTTGTAGAAGACACTCTTAGGGGTCCAGCGCCAAAGGGCTCGCGCTCAAGACAAGACCCGGACCGTGACGGGGAGGGTGGGAAGTCATGCACTGTCTATGGAGAATCGCTGTGTGCTCTGCCATGTCTCCAGTTAGCCTGCTTTGATCTGCACCAGTCTTAGGAAACAGGCATCCTATTCCCACCTGCGCCATGGAAAACGCGGATTAGAAGTGTCAGCGGCTTCTCCCACCTCCAAGCTGGGATTTCAGGGCTGGCTTTTGGGCCCCTCCCTCTGAGGCCTTGTCAGAGAAACTGGGCCTGGGCACACGTCCAAGGCAGGGACTCGGCCTCCGGGAGAAGGCTGGGATGGATTCCTGAAACTGGAGGAGATGCTTGCAGGAATACAGCAAGGAGCTGGTTCACAGACCTGGGGTGCCGGGGGGCAGAGCCAACGGACAGCATACCGGGCCTGGGAGCCGCTGGCCGGGACTTCCACGTGTCGTTAGCCCACGGTCCTGAGCAAGCCCAGCCCCACTCGTTGACTGATGGTGCCTCGACTCCGGAATCCAGCAGCCCTCCTGACTTCTAGACTAACGTTTTACGCTGAGTCAACCGCCTCTTAAACTCCTTTTAGCGTGCGCAGCTGGTCACCGAGGCGGGGCATGCGACTCCCTGGACGCCTGATGAACAGATCTGTGTCACAGGACACAGAGGCAACAAGCAGGAGAGTCGGACCACATGGCTTGTGACCCTGCGTCCCTCACCTCCCAGCCTCATCAGCTCAGGCAGGTCACTAAGCCTCTGTGTGCCTCAGTTTCCTCATCTGTAAAAGGGAGGTTTTAACAGCCCCTGTCTCATAGGACTGTTTTAAGACAAAATGAGTTAGTCCACATAAAAGAGCAGTGCCTGGCATGTAGTAGGTGCTCAGAAGGGGATGCTACCATTGATTTCTGCACACATCTCCCAGAGGGCCTGGCAATGCCCCCCTGGAGGGACCTCACGAGGACCTGATCCAGGCTGGAGACATGCTGTCTTCTTAGGCAAGCCGGTCCGTTTTCAGACTGCTCTAAGAAAATTCCTCCTTGTGGTCAGCCAAAGCCACCTCCCTGCAGCCCCCACGCATTGGCCCCAGCTCCGCCAGGAGGCAAATGTCAAAAAAATGTCCTTGAAAGAGAGGACATTGAATGTAAATAATAATGATAGAATCGTATTGAGGAATTACAGTCCCCTGCCCAGCGGCAGTTCCCACAGCCCCTAGCCCACAGCTAAGCATGGCCTCGGGTGAAGTCCAAAACTTTTGAGTTAAACTGGAAAAGGGACAGAAGTTCCAAATTCTCTGCTTCCTTTAGAAATGCATCAAACAACTTTCTCCATTCTTTTCTGACCAGAGCTGCCAGGCTGCCATGAAAAATCACTCCCCATGTGTCAAGGTGACAGTCACAGGGCTGCAGAGCCATGACCTCACCCCATTTAATATGTGCTGTGTGCCCTGTAATCACTGAGCATCCAGGGAGTGTGCCCCAGGAGGCAGCGACACACCGCAGACCTCCTGTTTACAGAGGCTTTCTGGCGTCAGGTGTGAAATCATGACCCGTGTGTCCCTTGCCTGCCTTCCCTGTCATGCACTGTGACATAAGATGAGTGCATGCATCTCTTCTGAGATCTGACAGCTTAGTTCTCCAATGGCTCCTGTTAGAAACAATTCGAAATTGTTCCTCAAGGCAAGATAAAAGCGTTCTGGACCTCTGTTGTAGAACACTGTGAATATACCTAATGCTGCCGAACCTACGCTTAATATAAGTTGGGGGGTCTAATGTTACGTGATTTCACAATTAAAATACACTTAAGGATGGAATATATAGATGAAATAATATGACAGAGTTGCTTCACAATAACACAAGAGGATGCAAAAGTTCATCAAGCTATCGACTTATGATTTGTGTACCCTTCCTCATACCAGACTTCATTAGATAATTTGCATGTTTAAAATAATAACAGAGGAGGAGGCAGTAGAGGGTACAGTTGGAACAAGATTGCTCGTGAGTTGGCAACTATAAAGTTGATGGGTATTAGTCTATTTTTGTGCATGTTTGCAATTTCATAATAAAAAAACAGAAATGCAGGAAACAGTTTAAATGTTACAAAAAAATGACTTGAACATTTCAAGGGTTTTTCCGTTGAAACTCAGGACTGGTGCACGGATGCCACACGGCTGCTTTAGGGTGGAGCAGGAGTGAATCGGTCCTCAGCGCTAGGTGCAAGGACAGTCACACTGCGTCTGAGTCAAAGGTCGCCTGGCTGTGAATGGGACAGGGCAGGGTGGGTAGCCCAGCAGCCACCGTTCAGCAAGTGGGCTCCTCCTAGAGCTCGTCCAAGGATCAGAGCCAAAGGAAGGGCCCCTCCTCGGTCCGTGCGGTGGCGCTCCATTCTGCCCACCTGCTCTGCTGGGCAAGGCTGGGGTCCCGTGGGCCTACGGATCTCAGCTCTGGGGAGCTCCTGGGGGACTTGACCCAGTGACCCTCCATGCTCTTCCCAAGGTCAAGTGCAGCCCTGCCCTCCCAACAGCAGAGCCCTGTGCAGAGGGGCCCTCTCCACGCAGGCATGTGGCCCCACAAGGCCCTACAGCTCCCCGTGCTCACTGAAGCTTTCTGCCAAACTGCCTTCTGTCACCTGCAACCCCACAGGACAACCCAATTAAACTCCCTCCCCGGGCCTAAAATTAAAGCCCTTTTTAGCACCACTCCCTTCCCCAACCAAGTGGGTGCTATAAAAAGCTCAGAGGTTTTGGAAGGTAAAACTTCCCCAGTGCCTCTGTCAGGGCAGAACCGAAACAAACACCCAGGACAGGGTCCGGGTTTTCCTCTCCAAGCTGACTCAGCTGAGACATCAATGCTCAGAAGTCCGTGTGGTTGCTCCACGTCTGGGTCCCCAGGGACAATCAGGATGACCCAGAGGGTAACTTCTAGGCAGGACGGTTCCCTGGGATCCAGGGGCATCCCATGGCATCAGCCCTGCCTCCCCCCCACCAACATCAGGGCTGGTGGCTGGCCCAGAAAGGAAACGCTGTGTTTGATCAGTTTGCATTCCCCACATTTAGGTGTTCGCTAAGTGCAGGTCCATCTCACTCCAGGTGGGTCCTTCATCCTTCAATTTCGGCAACCAAAACAAGGGCATCCAACAGCCTCCTGCTGCGTGTGGCCTTGTCCCCGGCCAGGAGACAGTGTGACTCTGGGGCCTGCCCTCTGTGGCACTGACGCTCGGCCTCTGGAGAGCGCGGCACCTGCTTCTCTGGCCACTCCGTCTGTGTGCTCTGCCTCCTGCGTCCCTCCTCCCTCCTCGGCACCTGGACCGTCCCAGCGCTCTGCCCTTGAGCCTCTAGCTCCTTCCCTGCCTCCCAGGTCACAGCCACTCCTGGTTTACCAACGGCCTGAGCTCCCTCCTGAGCCAACAAGGGGCACTGACTCAGCCCCTGTGCGGGAGGCTGTCCTGGGCACCCCGACCCCCTCTCCACCAGGAACCTCGGCTCTGCCTCCTGATGCTGCCCCAGCCTGGGGCCCCTGCTTGTTCCCAAGCCCCTCTGTGCCCCCCGCTTCCAAGCCACGGACCTCCTGGGAGACCCCAGCCAGCCAGCCCTCCAGGCCAAGCCTTTTCTCCCCGTCCTGTTCCTCCTCGCCAAGCCCCCAGCTCCCACTCTGGGGGGCCTCTGATCTGGCCCCAGAACAGCCCAACAGGGAGGGACTCGCCCCCAGCCTCAGCAGCGAAGGCGCCTCTCCGCAGTCTGCAAAGCGGGAATTCACCCTCGCCAAGCGTTCAGATCATGGAAGCCAAGATAATGGTGACGACAGTGGTGTCCCTCCCGATCTGTGGTCAGTCCCGAGGGCCCCCTCCCCACAGTGCATGGACACACACACGCGGGCTACACACATGCGGACTCCCTCAGCTCTCAGATCAGACCCATCTGCCCCGGGCCCCAGTGGAATGTTAACAAAAACGCTGTACCACTGTGTGGAGTCGTGGGGTTGGGGGCAGTCCAGGGAGGTGACACTGCCCTAGGGCGGAGACGGGGGCCCTCTGGACAGAGCCTGAAGTGCTCCCCTCTGCCGTTCTCGACTAGGTGCGAGGCCCCGGAGACAAGCTACAACAAAATTGGGACAGCTGATGAAATTTGAATATGGGCTGTGGATGGATAATGGCTTCTGCCATGTCAAATTTTTATAATTGTGTTGCGGTTGTGTAGGAGAACGTCTTAGTTGGCAGAAATACATACCAAAGTATATAGGGCATAGTGCCTCCTACTTACCCTCAAATGGCTCAGAAAAAACATGGGCACACATGGGTGTGAGTGCATGTGTGTGTGCACTTGTGTGAAGAGGGTGTGAGAGAGAGAGAGAGAGAGAGAGAGAGAGAGAGAGAGAGAGAGAATGGCTCAGTGAGTGGGGTGCGGTGGCAACTGCCTGCTGGAGCGGGAACAGCAGGTCAGGGCGCATGGACGGAGCTCCCCACGGGGTGCTTGCAGCTTGTCAGCGCATCTGAAATTCTTCCAAAATAAGTTACCAAAAACATATGAGCTTAAGCAGCGGGATACACACTGCAAGATCTTTGAAAAACCGAACAATCCCCATCAAATACTTTAGACTGACCAACTGTGGAGGCAGAGCCAAGCAAAGGGGAGAAGGATGGAAACAGGGAAGGGGAGGGGGCGGGGAGGCGGGCACAGTCTGGGCCCTTGGGGCCCTCTCTCCCTTGGGTGCACGCACCCACTCTCCTGACACCAGCTTTTCGTTTCTGGGTGAAGGTTCCTAAATCATTACCCCCAGCTCCGTCAAGCACGCGATCCTGGGTTTAGCATCGCTCGGCACAGGACGCCCCTCGGACGCCCCACGGTCACCTGCAACCCTGACCCTTGCCCCCAGCCCGCCTGCCCCCCTAGGCTCCACCTCCTGCCTCTCCTTCTGTGTCCCAGTTGCCGCCTGGCCACATTTTTCTTCCTCTGACCCATCCCCCCACTCTCCTTTTCAGGTTCAAACTCCCACCTCCTCCCCCAGGATCACCACTGGGGCTCACGTCCTCCGGTCTGCTCTGCACCCTCAATCCAACCACATCTGCCCAGTTTTCCTGTAATGCTGCTGCTCTCCTGTGACTGAAGAATATGCTCCGAACCAATTCACTGCTTTCTCATCTCTGATTTTGTTCACGAGTATATTTCTTTTAGCTGCCAGCTTTATCCAAAGTCCCCGGAAGCAGGGGGGGTCCTACCTCGGGCCCGACAGCTGGCTCCGTGGTGCCTTGCATGTGCTGGGCGCACGGCAGCAGGATGTCATGGGTACCTATGGGCTAACCGTTGTTCCTTATTTCTGAGTAATTTAATCATACCTAAAGACAGTCTCATGCTCACTTTATAGATTTGGGGTGATGATAAATGATGATAAAAGGACGAGACCCCAGGGTTGGCTGTCTAGCTCACAGGTGTGCCCCAGGTCACAGGCAATAGCCCTTAGGATCACCCACCGGCTCTGCTGAGACCTGCTCCAGGGAACTAAAGGCTTTGTATGTAAAACATACACATATGTGCCACGCATGTTTCTAGGTATGGAGATTTCTTAAGAAAGGATATTTTAAATTACAGCATTGCTTTTAGAATTTATTTTTTAGATTTATGTATTATACTTTATTATGTATTTATTTCCGCAAATGTTCTAAAGCTTAACCCAGTTTAAAACGTATTCCCTAAATCACTTGCTACCTCTCAGTTTTTTCTTTTTCCAGCTCGAAAAAGATATTTTGATATCACAGCAAACAGCCATTGATTCTATTTCTAGTCACTTCAAAAACAACCCTAATGGCCCAGCCGCTGTCCAAACAAGGAAAGGGCTGGGTGAATAAGCCTTTTCCCTGTCATCATCTTAAGTAAGGTCATCGGAGCTAAACGGATGACAACCACGGGTCGCACATATTTAATTCCTTCTCTCTTGATATTTCATAATTTCAGCTTGTAAAAGAGAGGATGATGTAATGCTAATAAATGCCAAAGTGGCCTTTTCGAGAAGCGACACCAAACATGGGCAGAACGCCTAAGCCAAGTTTGCTCAGGCAAATATTCAGATATCTGTCGTCATCTGAGGGTTCAGCTGAGATTCTGGTTCATAAACAGGGTTCACAGAGGTTTTGATCTATCTGAACCTCAAAGCACTGTGGTTTGAGCCCACACAAGATGTACATGCTGCGTCTCTACGTCCTGGGGAACAGGTACCAAAACATCTACATATTCCCAGGGACACAATCTTACCATCAAGGACCACTTATTGTGGGTGGATTTTTTCTTTGTACTATAATGTAAACTTCCTACTGCAATTTTAACCAATTTCCTCCTGTGCATTTCTCAGAGCTGGTGAACAGTTCATTGCAATTCTCTGAACAACACCTGGGCCTTTCTATATGAACACAGTGTGACGGGTCTCTGTTCCACGGACCATTTGCTTTGAGTTGTTTGTCCAGGTGCAATGCATCTTTCTCATTAATTCCCAAGTTCTCTGTTCCCTTTTGAAATGAGGACATACACAGGCTATACACAGTTCCAGCAGAAGAAATAGGGTCTTGGCCACAGGACAGTGCTCGAGCGATGATCCGGTCTCATCGGATGCTCTGCTCAGAACTGGCTTAGTGGGCTCCGTGCCGCCTGCCTTTGCAGACTCAGCAATCACAGAGAAGGAAGTAATCTCAGAGATTCTCAGGTCCAGCCTTGTCCTGCGTAGGCTGTCCTAATCATCCACAGGGATGTCTTTAAGGACACAGGTCAGAGGTATGTCCAGAATTATCCACATATCTGATTCCCTCCTCCTCAGTGGACCTCTGCATGGGGGCCCACCTCACCCAGTTTCCTGAAATGCCAATCATAGAAAGGCCAGCATTTTAACTTAGAGAAGAAATCAAGGGACAAATGCACAAAGATACCCACAGAAGTATAAGATGGGTCACTGCAGTGCTGTATGTAATAGCAAAACCTGAAAGCAAGTGCAGGGCCCAACAGTATAGGTTAATTACCTAATTATTGGAATGCCTTCCCATGAAATACGAGGCAGGCATTTAAAGTTATCGTATTTGTTGACACGGAGTGAAATCTACCATTAAATGTTGTATGAAAAATAATACATAGAACCATGCCTATTACATGATCTCATCTCTTTTTCTCCTCCTTCTTTTTAAAAATCTATTTATGGACCAATTTGCATTCACAGGAAGGTTATAATAAAAAATAATCAGCGTTGGCGGTTATCTTAAATTTCTACTTGTGTACCCTCTAGTATTTTCTGAAGTATGCAGAGACTATGCATTTGTGTAATTGGGAAACAAAATGAATCTCTTATCTGTTCCAGGACTGTTTTTAAAAAAAACCCTCAGGTCCAAGGACTTTATAGATGGGGACCTCACCCCACATTGGGTCAGACATATTAAACTGCACCAGCCCCCATATTAACTGTACTTTCCATGAGAACATTTGAAACAACTTCTATAGTTTTGATTCTGAGATTACTAAGCTACAAATAACTAACTTATGAAAGGCTATGACTTTCTTAGCAATCATCATGCAAACTTACGAGTTTGGGCCAAGGAAGAAAATATCTGACCTAACTTTCCAGTGTGATGAGATTTCATTAATTATAAACTACACACTAACATGATTGATACGATGTTACAGTTCATAGAGATTAAGGCATGCCTTTTTTTCAGACTTTTTTTTCTATATTTAGTAGCCAATACAATTTTTCAGGTCCCCAGTGTTTTGGTATGGCTGAGGTAAGTGCAGAGGCCCCAAGTCCAAGGCCTGTAGGTGGGGGTCCTCCCCACTTTGTCATCAGAGGCTATGTCCATTTGCCCTTTGCCCCCTGTGCTAACACAGTGCATGGCAAATAATCTGAATTCACTGAGTATCTTTGGATTGACTGCTTTGGGGAGGCTTCAGATCTCTCAAATCTTCCTTCAAAGCAAAGCATTTTACTTAAAAGCCTTTGCTCTTTTTCAGACCTCTGTAGATATGGAGAACGTGGTTATATTCTTGCATTAAAAACCCTTACATTCTTGAAAAAGTAATCAAAATACCTCTTAATCAACTTTTTATTGCTCATTTAACTGTTCGCTAAGAAAAAAAAAAAGAACCCAAAACTGTTTTTATGATCAGTTTTATACCCTGCCCAGTGTCTATATGTCATTGTCAACTCTTACTGGGTAAAACATTTCATAAATGCTTCATTGATGCGATACATAGAGCAGGATTTACCCAAAAAATCATACTAGTTGCTGTTGTATGCCAACTGTTTTTATGTCAACTGTTTCCCTGATCCCATGTTCTCTTTCTACCGCAGATGTAGTTAAATTCTTCCTTATCCCATATTTGAATAATTAATTTTTCTTCTATAACTACTGTCTTATAGTTCTCTACTGAATTGTGTACTTTTTAAGATAATGTTAAATTCCATTCCTGTTTTAAAGAAATTTAACTACCAGAGGTCCAATGAATAGATGGTTGGGCCAAATGTTTGAATGCCCAACAATTAAAGCCAACATTTGACCTAAGATAAATAATTCCCACAAAATAAACTTCCAGGATATAATGGAACATTTGAAATTTTATTTTAAATATTCAAGAATTGGAACTTTTACATTTTGATAGTCATGTTTTAGAGGTTTAACATTATAATATGGAAAACGTTTCTCAGTGCTGTCAACTGTATCACTCTTACAGGTACCATTACAAAGTTAAATAAGTGTTTGCTTTCAACTGATGATGGAAGAGCAAACTAGTTTAATGTTTCTCACTTTTCCCTTAAAAATTCATTATTTATTCACAGTCTTTATATTCTGTACTGTATCTGGACAGAGACAATTTATCATTAACATAACATGCAAGAGTTTGGAGGCTCTTTCACTTTGTGAAGCTTTGCTAATTCATCCTACAAGATACTAAGACTTCCCAAATGGGGCTTATCTGGAAGACTCATCACCTAAAAGGATTTAAATGAAATATCTATTTATATTTTATTTTTGCACATCAAATTAACATCTCTCACCATCAACTACTATACCATTTTTTTCTCACAATAATATTTATGCATTCATTCTTCAGCTGAGAATTTTAAGATAAAGAGCACACAGAAGATATTTTCTCCAAGGAGCATATAAAATACTTACCTTAGAAAGAGTATATACCAATATTAACACAACATCCTAACCATGGTCTTATTTATAATCTTGACATCAAGCTGCCTAGTTATGGTGGTAGCCTTTGCAATCACAATACAAGGTCAAGGATGCTGGAAATGATGTTGAGGTAGGCATGGCTCCCCATCCAAAGCCTGAACCAAAAAGCACTGGGTTGCGGTGAAAACTCGGTGGGATATTATTTGCCAAGTGCTTACAAGTGTACCCATCTTATGGAAAGTATAAGTGTGCAAATATTAGCTGTTGCTGCTTCTGTTATCATTATTAATTGATACTAAGGAAGCTTAACTCATGATTTATTGCTTTTAACGAACTCTGTTCTCAAAATAAAGGAGATAAATCAGATAAGAAGAAGCAAGGGATTGGAGCACAGAGACCTTCTGTATTATTTAGAAAATTATGTAGTAATATAATTAACAGCCATGATTCCATATCATTCTCTAGTCCATGTAATAGTCCTTTAATTCTCTGAGCAAATGTTTAAAAACTTTTAATTATGGAAATGGTCAGTCAGAAAGATAGCATAAAGAACCTATGTGTCTGTGCCCACCTTCCACAGTGAGTGACGTTCTGCCTTCCTCATCCAGTCCAAACCCCCAAATCCCTAGTACCACTGGTCCTGTGACAGGGCAGCTTGGAGCCAGTTGTTCCACAGAATCACACGTCTTAAGATGTGGCAGCTTTTAATCTATCTGAGAGTTGGAGGGAACAGGAATTTAGCCCCTCCTACAAATCTTTACACTACAGAATCATTTTTCACATTTTGATTCAAATTATATTCCAACTCTTGATAACAGAAGAGGCACAAATCACTTGAGTTGCCTTTGGTCTTAGCTGTGCTCACAAATGTCAAATACTTTTGCTGCCAACAGACCAAACAAAAGCTCAAAAATGTCCGATGTCAACAGACCAAATACAATCTCTAAATGGTGGCCTTGTCCCCTGGACTGATGCATTTCATCTGCCAAGATACCCACACCCTCAGGCCCCGAGAACCAGACCTAAGAGTGTCCATCAGGCTTTGTCCTACCGTGGCCCTCGTAGAAAAGGCAATGGTCTGGGCACCTTGGGTAAACAGATCAGTAAGTCCATCCCCCATCTGAAGCCTATAAGCCCTGCATCTTGGTTGCAAAGTTCTAGACGGAACAAGTGCTTTACATACACTGACTCATTTAATCCTTACAACTACCCTATAAAGAAGGCGTCTCCATCCTCTATTCACAGTTGAAGAAAGTGAGGTCCAGAGAGGTGAAGCAGCTTACCCAAGATCACACAGCCAAAAAGTGGCCGTCATCACTGGTACAAGATTCTGTGTGCTATCAGCCTCTCTAATAAATCTTTCCTGATTACCCCATGTTTCCAACTTAGTCCCACTGTGACATGCATAAAGAACCCACACTTACGGCCTGGTTTTGGCAGGCATTTTCACACTCTTCTATCTCAGATTTCCTCTTAAGATTCCATACTAGATTCCACACCATTGGAGAGCATACACGGAAAAAAAATTCTGGGCACAGAGTGATACTCAAATACCTTCTGGCCAAATTGCCAATCACATAAACACTATTTAACTCTAACACTTACAGACACTTGAAATATTTGATCGTGATAAAAATGAAGCACAAGTAGCAAGACAAGATCTGTGACAGATTATTGATAACCTGTTCTATCAGCATCTGATTGGCCAGTGGAGTCCAGAAAAGAGAACATTTCAAAGTTCCTCATCTGTACAAGATAAATAAGCTTTGAATGTTTTGGCTTTCTCCTCTTACACATCGAGGACCTTTTATTCTTTCTGGCACCATCCCAGATCTGTGTTTTGATCTCTGCATTCCTGAGAAGGCAGCCCTATTACCTCAGTCATACTCTAACTGCCCTCCAACAGATATGCAAACAAGAAGCTTCAGAAAGCTCGGTAATCACCTGAAATCCATGCCAGTGTAGACTGACATCATGACCGACACACAATAGGCCGCTGAAAGGAAGCAGTCACTGTTTGGCAAAGCTTGTGTCAGCCAGAACTGCACACGCCTCTCTTTTGGTCGACACAAATAACCTAAGTCAGGAAACAAAGTGATTTTAGTAAGTAAGAACCACAATGACATGGCTTATTTGTAGTATTTACAAAATGCCCTTGACATCATCAAGGCCGTGGCCCTGAGGAGAAGGAGGAGAGAAACGGCATCTGAGCCCCTTACTGAGCCCCTGCTGCACGTCGGGCAGTTCCGGGGAGGCAGGTGTGAACATTCCTGGTTTCCAGATGGAGAGACAGACTCAGAGACGTTAAGGAATGTGCTGCAAATCACAAAGCTAGAAACGCGGCAGAGCAAAGATTAGGAACAAATTCTGCCCAACTCTAAACACGCTGCTGCCTCTAAGAGTTGCCTGAGAAAAGCTTTGAGAAATTATGTAGATACATTGATTTCCCAAGGATTTGGTTTCAACCCTATACTCATCAGAAAATAACATTTTCTCAAGACACAAAGCTTAGCAGAGGCACTACTGAGAAACAGAACAATCAACATACCTGTACTGTCTGGTTACCAGCGTTTCTGGCAAAGATAGATGACACTGGGACTCAAATTCTCCAGCACCCCTCTTTCGGATGGTAGAAACCTAGTTATCACAACATTCATAATCCTCCCAACTATAAATGGATTAAACCCATGAGTTAAAAGGCATACATTACCATACTGGGAGAGATTCTGTTTGGGAGATACCTAAAAGTAAAAGGATGGAAAAGTTGAGAGTTAAAGGAAGGAAAAAGATATACCAGGAAAATAGTAACCAGAGGAGAGCCAACATAGCAGTAGCAACATCACAAAAAATAGACTTTAAGACAGAAAAGGTCACTATATAAAGATAAAATTTTCAACTAACCACAAAGACATGAGAATTCTAAAGGTATATGCACCTAATAAAATTGTCTTACACATACAAATCAAAAAGTGATAGAAACACAAGGATAAATGGACAAATCTCCCAACATTTTTTTCTCAATTCTTGGAAAGCCAAGCAGCAAAAAATACTCAGTATATATCTGGACAATGTGATTTACAACCTTGATCTAATGGACAAATGTAAAATCCTGAGTGTCACCATGAACGAATATCCATTTTTTTAAAGCACATATGGAAAGTCACAAAAATTAGTCACCTGTTAGGTCATAAAGGACAATGGTTTATCCTTGACAAAGTTCCTGCTTCTACACCTCAACAAATTTCAAAAAGTTAAGTATCATATCCTCCACATTCTTGAACACAATGGAATTAAGCAGAAACCAGTAACAAAAAGATGAGACGTTTTCATGTGTTAGAATTGAAAAAACAGAATTCTAAAAATTCCTGGCTCAAAAAAGTTACAATGAAAATTTAGAAATAGTTAGAATGATAATTAAGAAAACACATGCTTGTGGATTATAGTGAGAGCTGCACTCAGAGGGAATGCATAGCCTTAAATAATTAGATTTATAAGAATAAAGGCTAAAAATTAATGAGCTAACTCTAACTAAAAAAAGCTAGGGGGAAAATACAACATAAATCCAAAGAGATGGATCTTATAATAAAGAAAAGAGCAGGCATATAGTGAGTCGGGGGTAGAAATGTCACACAGTGGAAGAACCGACAAAGCCAAATGCTAGTAGTCCTTTGGACAGACTAATAAAATAGACCAACCTCTGGTGATATGGATCAAGAAAAGAGAAAAGGCATAAATGTTTAACCACAAACCCAGCAAAGGGTATTTAAAATAGAGCAGAAACTAAGAAGATAATACAAACATTTTATGCTGATATGTTTGATAATTAGATGAAATAGGCAAATTGTTATAAAACATAATTAATGCTGATCCATGAAGAAACAGAAAGTCCTACAATTAAATGGAAACAGTATTAAAAGTCCTGACACAGCAAAACTCCAGGCTCAGATAGTTTTACAGATAAATTCTTCAAATTTTCATGGGAGCAGTCATTCCCATCAAATAAAAATTCTAGCACACAGCAAGAAAGAGAACACTCTCCAACTCATTCTATGAGCTCAATATAATCTTAATTTTAAAAATCAGTAAGAAAATTGAAAGTTATAAGTCAATCTCATTCATAAACATCAGTGCATCCTTTCTTAAATTAGCAAAATGGATCCATCCATGTTTTTAAAAGATAATGTATTTTTCCAGGAACGGAAGGTTAGACTGACTTCGGAAGAACTGTGAATGTCACTGTGTAGTGAACCAACTTTACCCAAAGACAGATCTGGTCTTTGTCCCAGCTCCTGGGTGGTCTGGTCTATACTTCTGATATTCCCTGAGTAATAGGAGCGTCTTTGTTATTCATGGTGGTTCCCTGGGGCCACAACTGAGAGTTTATACTGATAAGATGACTCAGGTGGAGACTGGCCTGCCCTGTGATTAGAGAGTAGAGGGGTTGAAAGGGCCCCTTGAAATCAGCCCAACCTGAGTGGCAGATTGGATCGGGGAGTGGGAAGGCTGTGGCTGGAAGTTGAAGTCAACCAATCATTCAACCAATTGGGAATTGACTGATTGGCAATAATTCAACCAATCATTCCTGTACAATGAAACTTCAGTCAAATTCTGGGCACAGAGCTTAGATGAGCTACCTGGGTTGGCAACACTTTGCATATTGCCACACATTGGTGCTGCGAGGTAATGCTCCCCCAGGACACAGAAGCTTTGGGCCTGGAACTCTCCCAGTTCCAGATTCTGCCTTACTCATCTCTTCCTTGGCTGGTTCTTTTTTTTTTTTTTTTTTTTTTTAATCCATCTCAAGCCTAATTCTCGTCAGTCTCCAATCTTCTGAAGCATAACGAACAAGTTCTTACATGGTGAACGAATTCTTACAGAGTGAATAAATTCTTACATGGTGAACAGTACAAGGGCAGTCATCACAGAAACTTTCGGTTTTGATCATGCAATATGACCTATAAACCATCAGGTCAAATATGAATATTCATTTGATTTTTGTACTTGATTTATATGTTGATCCCACATTTCTCCTATTATTATTATTATTTTTATTTTTAATAAAATGCTGAAGTGGTAGGTAGATGCAAGATAAAGGTAGAAAACATAGTTTAGTGCTGTAAGAGGGCAAATGTAGATGATCAGATGATCAGGTGTGTGCCTATGGACTAAGTATTAATCCAGGCTAGACAAGGGCAGCAAGACATCCATGGATGCAGAAGATTTCTCTCAAAGCAGGGGGGGTGAGGTTCTGAGCCTCACCTCTGTTGATCCCCAATTTCTCACCTGATGGCCCCCCTGCAACTGTGCCTGTCTTAGGTTGCTCCTCCCTTGAGGAATCTTACCCGTCTCTGGCTAACCTGGCTGGTTCTTTTTTGTATCCTTTTGCTATCATAAAACTGAAATGGTTTAGGACTTGCCTGAGCTCTGTCAGTCATTCTATGAACTTGAGGGAGTTAGGAAGCCTAAATTTGTAGCCAGCTGGTCTGAGAGAGGGTGGCCCTGGGGACCCCTGAACTCGTGACTGGCGTGAGAAGTCCGCCAGACCTTAATCTTGAGTTTGGACAGTTCTGGGTAGTCATTCAGCCCAATAACAGACTGAATGAGAAAAAACATTTGATCTCAATGGGTGCAGAAAAAGTACTGATAAAATTTCCTACTCATTTCAATTCAAGAAAATAAAAAGTACAACGTTCAGTAAACTAGGATTAGAATAAAACCTCCTTAATCTGACTGAGAATATAAACAAATGGTATAAATATAAAAATGTTGGAAGTGCTCCCTTTAAGATCAGGAGCAAGACATGAATGGCACCACCATGGCTTTTTTTCCAAGTTTACTGACATTCTAGAGAATGCAATAACAAGAAAAATATATCCAAAGCATTAAGGATCAGCGAGGATAGACAGGACATTTTTATTATCCTTGGATCGTATGATTTTCTTTATATAAAACTCAAAAGGATACATCGATTTTTTAAAAATAGTGAGATAGTTTAGCAAGATGTCTGACTGTAAGAACTACATTAAAAAATCAATTGCATGTCTAAACATCAATTAATCCTGGAGACGTAATGATAAGTGGGAAAAAAAGCCCCAGAAGTTGATACACAACACGATGCCTTTTTTATACAGCCCCACATCAGCAATCTAAGTATTAAACAAGTATATATACATTTGAGATAAAACCCCCCTTTAATGTTTTAAGTTATGTACACAAAAAAATATTGTTTGTAAAAGCCTCAAACTGGAAACGACTTGCATATCCATCAACAAATAAATGGGTGAACAAAGTGTAATACATTCATACAATAAAATGGCACCACTCCACAGGATGAAGAAATATCTTATACTCTTGATAATGTGGATGAATCTCAAAAATATTATGGAGAACAATTTTTTAAAAAACTTAGTCACCAGAGGGTAAATATTGTATGATTCCATTTATATGGAATTCTAAAATAGGCAAAACGAATTTATGGAGAGAGAACAAAGGACCGAGGTGGCCTCTGACATGGGAGAGAAGGATCTTGTGGTGATTGCTACAAAATACTTAAGAACAGTTCAAGTCCTAAAATCTAATCTTGGGACATGAAGTAGGTTAGATAACTCAAAATCTGGGTTAATATAAGCAATCATAAAAAGTGAAATATACAACTTCTAAACGTCGTATCATAACGTAAAACGTGAGTGAGTGTATGTCCACTTGGGAGCCCTGTGACACAGGGCCAAACCAAGCTTTCTCTGTGTCCTTGGGTCCACTGACGGCCGTTAAGTTGGGTTTTGCATGGATCCCCGACGCTGCCATTGTCTACATGGATCCACAATAGCCATATGTCTCCAGTGGACATGCAGCGTGCCTGGAAACTCCACTCAGCTGCCCCATACGTGCTTCCCCCAGCCCTCTTCTTAATTGTGAACACCAGCGCCCTTCCTAGAAGTGCCCTGGAACAGCCGCTTCAGCATCCCCAGGGAACATGCTAGAAACACAAACGCTCAGGCCCCACCCCAGACCTGCTGAGTCAGACACTCTAGGGGTGGAGCCCAGTTGTGTATTTTAATGAAACCTCCCTGTGTTTCCCTATGAATGAAATTCTCGACCTCCTCTCTGTTCTGAGCACCCCAGGCAGAGCCAGCATGGTCTCATGACTTGTTTCTGCAATAACCTGCCTGATCTCGCTGCTTCCACGCCAACCCCCCAAGTCCGTTCCCCACCAGAGCCTAGGATGCTCTCTTACAAGTCGGATTCCACCACTCCACTGCTCAAACCCCCTTATGATGGCTATCCCACTTGCCTGGGGGAAAGGTCAGACCCTTGATCTGGGTGTAATATCCTCTGTGACCTGGCTGCTGCCATCTCCCCACACCCTACATTGTTCCCCAGTCCTCTTGTTCCCCACACTCAGCCACCCTGACCTTCAATTCCAAAACCTGCCAGGTTCCTTTCCACCTCAGGGCCTTTGCACAAGCTGGTCTCACTGACTGGAAGGCTCTCCCTCAACTCTGTGAGGCAGGATTCTTCCTGCCATTCAGATCACACTGTAAACAACACAGAGCTCTACCTGCTTTCCTAATCAAAAGTGACTATACCTGACACAAACTAGCCACTGTGTGCCTGCCTCCCTCACGAGAACCTCTTGGGGCAGGACCATCAGGGTGCTGCTTGCCATCTCCGCACCTAGAGCACAGCCCCTAAATGTGTGCAAACACTGCTACTAAGTGATGAACAAATGCTGAGAGGGGAGATGGGGAAGGGTGGTTTAGAAAGGCTCCCCTGTGTGCCACACCGCGTTCCCTCTTTGGCTCTGCTCAAAAAAAGCCTTCAGTGTAACCGATGTGTATTCCCCTTGAAAACCTTGGAAGTCAGATTTTGATGTGTCTTTTACATGTACCCAAACCGATTTTTATCCAAGTTACATTTTATTTAGAATTTGTGTCATCTGGAAAGCTACTGTTCTCCATAGATGTTGAAATACAAACAAGTCCTCCAAGCGCTTATGATCTGTACTCTTTCATTTACCTGCCCAAAGCCCATGATTATATACATTCCCAAAAATGCATGTATCCGTCCTCATAGGTTCCCACACTCTTCCCAACTCCCCTCACCCTCCCTCCTGGCTCTCCCCTGGGGCTCTCCTGCCTTGGTGCAAATCCTCCACCCAAGCCACCTGTGGTAGGTTGGCGCCTCCTGGGGAACCTGGGTGCCATCGGGTCGATTCCCTTCCTAAGGGCTCGGGCACCCGCTGCCCATAGGCAATCCCTGATCTCAGCAAGCCAGCTTTGATTTCACTGGGCCACCACCCTTCAACTCAGGGCCCCTGCTGCTCCTGTTTGCCCTCTCCTCCCACCCTGTGCCCCGCCTGCCCCTGGCCTTTCCTCCTGGGCCCACCTGCAGCACAGGCCCCACCTCCCCCTGTGCAGCCCGAGCTCCTTGGTGCAGTTCCCACCACGGCAAAGGCCGTCTTCTGGAGAGGGAGCCTGATTCGTGGCAGCAGCCGTGTCACAGCGACACAGCTCACGTTCGATGCACCTGACACTGTCCTCAGGCTCTGCCTGCTCTTCCCACTGATCCCGCTCGAAAGGAAAACACTGTCATGATGTTAGAGGTGAGAACACCGCACTGACCTCGGGGAGGTGTCCTGTTGGTGGATGGCGGAGGGGATTCGAACAGAAGGCTTCCGAGCACCCCATGCCACTGTGTGCTGTAGAACCAGAGAATTACACTGAGGTCACCAATCGGTCACACTTCCCCGCAGGGCAGATACGTGACCTTCATTTAACAGCAGCCCCTCCATGTTGCTGATGAGGTTGAGTTTGAACAGGATGAAACTTTGGCCTTTGTCACTTTTTATATTTTTATGTTTTTAATTAAATTGCCTGGGTCGCTGACACCCTGCAGAGACTATGGAGCGCAGCCCTGCATTTTGTTAATGATACACCATCTGTTTGTTCACACTGTGTGATCACATGATCTTTGCTCTGCAGAACGTCCTGTCTCACTGGCCTAAACCAGTTTGCGGTTGAAATGCTTGGGAGGAGGACGGGAGACCCTTGCTCTCCTTCCTCCCTTCCTTGCTCCTCCCTCCCTCCCTCCCCTCCCCATGAGCACAGGTGCAGCCTGGTTTAAGGGGGCCAGCAGGGACGGATGGGGTGGGGACAGTGCAGACATGGGGGAAGCCCACAGAAGGCGTCCCAGGGCATTTGAGGGCCACGCCGCCCACCCAGGGCCCAGGGGTTGCAGGGAAATCAGCTCGGCCCGGGGCCAGTGGAGGCCGAAGCTTCAGAGCCCCTCTGACCTGGCTGCTGACTCACCTTCTCCACCTCACACGTGATAACTGATGATCTCACCCAATAATCTGACAAAAGCCCTGAAGAGAGTTGCATCAGGGTGTCGGTGAGAACTTTACATTTTATCCATTTCAGTGAAGACCAGGCCTCAAAAAGAAAAGGTAACGAGGCTCAGATTCTGACCCTTTGCTGAAGAATTCCATCGCTCGGGGCGCATCGAGGCCACTCTGAGCGTGCCCTACTGCACGCAGGTGCTATGGGGCAGACAGGGACAAGGGGACCCGGTGCTGACCCTGAGGTATTCATGTGACAGAGATTCCAGCCGTGAAATATTATTTACACAACATTCAGAACTTGGACAACCCCAAAGTGCTGGTGTGCCTGCCTCAGACACGCACCGTATAGCCTCACTCTGAGAAGCCGCCTCAGCCACCGTGTGACCCTGGGTGAAGAGGTGAAAAGCCATGTCAGGGAGTTTGTCCTGGGAGTGCCCTTCTGAAGGAACCAGGTGACTGATGCCTGAGGAGTCTGTGGGTAGGACAGGAGGAGATGGCTCAACCCACTGGCATTTAAAAGCCCATGCTCATTCCTATGGAATCTCAGCAATGCACCTGCCCACACTGACCCCTTACGCACACGTCCTCAGCCTCTCGGCTTCTTACGATGACTCCCTCCTACCTGCCATTTTTCTACTCTATCAGATTTCACTTTCTGGTTGTAATTTGGGAGGGGGTGGCAGGGGTGGGGGGCACACACTATCTGTCTGATTTCACCACTTCCTCAGGGGCCCTGATTACAAGGTGTGTTTACACCAATGGACAGGTTTTCCTGTGGAGAGCACAGCTCCTGTGGATGACTCATCCTTAGGTGTCTCACACTTTGGGCTTATGAAATACTTCCCCAATCAGTGGAGAACCAATGGCCCAGAGCCTCTCTTATCAACTTCTGATAGGAGTTTGCAGCCCATAAACCCAGCTCACACACTCCCTGCAGAGAAAACATGTACACCTGGGCTTCTCAGCCCAGAAGGTTGTCATCCAGGCACTTCATGAATAAGGTGCAGCCACTGTCCCTCTGCTCGCCTTATCACTTGGAAAAGGAATCCTGCTCCCCATGTGGCCGGCCTGTGGGACCCTTCCCTTGACCTGTGTTTCCCTGATGGGCCTCTTCCTCCAGTAAGCAAAACGGCAGAGACGGATTTCCAGACAAGCAACAAGTGATGCCGATCACAGTGTTCTCCGGTGACCCAACCAGCACCTCACTGCTGACACATGTCACTTCTGCTCACGGTTCAGAGGCAAAGGTCCCATCCACAAAGGGGTGGGGACCACCATCCTACTAAGACCCTAGAAGGCAAAGAGCCACAGAGGTTTGGTAAAGAACTCAAGCGACTTCCACAAGGCCCAGCTCATCGCATGCAGTGGTGGCTTAGCCCAGGGGACCATAGTGATACAGATGCCACCACCTGGAGGGTCCCTGGGCTGGAGGAAGGAAAGGCCCCCACTTGGCCAGCCCAGGCCATTGCATCTGTGAGGCTGAAGCTGCAGCCGGCCTGTTTGGTTCCAGGAGAGAACCGAGACCTCTCACTCCGTGGTTGTGCCCTGCTGCCGACACAGGGCCGTGCACAAGTAGGCACTCAGCAAACACTACACAAGTAACGAAGGCTGTGGCGGCTTCCCACAGACTTGTGATGGAGGCTGTGTCACCAGCGACATGCTCAGCTTTCCGAGGGTAAGGGGTGGCCTTCCCTCCTGCGCTTCACTGATGCAGTGAGCATGTGCCCAGCCCTTGATGGGAAACAGGAAGCGGGCACGGGCATGACAAACGAGCCCCAGTCTCTGTCCTCAACGGTCTCACACCGCATCTGCAGCAAAAAATACATAACCAATAACCAACGTGCTGAATGCTCTAATCCTATATGACAAAAGTATTCACAAAATGCGTGAGGTGTGGGAGTGTGAGGGTGACCAGGAAAGTTTTCCCCAAGGAAACGAGACTGTGTCCAGACCTTAAGGGAGAAGATGTCTAATGGGCAGACAAGGAAAAGCAAGGCCCTCTCAGAGACAGCGCGCAGAAGCAGGGAGCCGGCAAGAGCTCCTTTTCTCCGAACTGGAAGGTGCAGGGATGGCCAGGTACAGGGCAGACAGAAAACGTTCTAGTCTTTGTGAGCACATGCTATCTCTGTCACGTTTTCTTGGTGTGTGTGTGTGTTTTATAACCCTTTAAAAATATAAAAACTACTCTCGGCTCACAGGTCACACAAAAACACAGTCTAAGCCACACCCACTGGGAGGGCTGCAGTCAGACGGCAGAGGGTCCCAAGTGCCGGTGAGGGGTGGAGGGATGGCACCCTCACGCTGGGCCGGTGGGGACAGGGCATGTGGCTTCTGCGGGGAACAGGCCGGCAGCGCCTCAAAGGGCACAGGATGGCCCAGCCGTTCTGCTCCGAGGTTAATGCCCCAGAGAACTGAAAACATGTGTCCACACAAAAAGCTGATAGAAATGTTCACGGCAGCATTATTCACAGCCCCAAAGTGGAAACAACCCAAATGCCCATCAACCGGTGACGGAATAAGGAAAATGTGATGTGTCTGTTCAATGGAATATCACTTGGCAGTGACAAGGAAGGAAGTACTGACATGTGCTGTGACAGAGGCGCCTTGACAATGTCACGAGAAGCCGGGTACAGGAAACCACCTAGCATGTGACCCATTTATACGAAATGCCGAGAAGAGGCAAATCCAAGAGGCAAAGAACTGACCGGTGGCTGCCGTGGGCTGGCGGCGCTGGGGGCACGGGCATGACTGCTAACGGGTAAGGGTTTCTCCTGGGGGAGGGTGTGAAATGCTCTTGAATCAGGTAGTGATGATGGATGCACAGCTCCGTGAAGACACTAAAACTACTGACTCATATACTTTAAAAGTGTGAATGCTATATGGTATGTGAAATATATCTCGATTTTTTAAAAAGGTTTCTTTAAGCAGACCACGGGCCCTCACTCGCCAAGCCCTGAGTCGGTGGGTGATAGGGAGCAGCAGGAGGAAGGGGCACAGGTCTCTCTGAGGTCACGCTCAGGGGCTTGGGCCTGGGCCTGCAGGTAATGGGCAGGAGCCATCCACAGCCTCGCCAGGAGGACTGTGACCGGAGATGGTCAGGAAAGGCCGCACAGCATGGTGGGGACAAAGCCAGGCCACAGTGGGCGAAGGAAGGGTGGGGGCGGCAGCAGGGGAGAAGGCAGGCTGCACAGGGACAGGGAGGGGGCGTGTTGGGTGAGGAGTGACGTCTCCTTACAGGTCAAGGAGGAAACACCGCTTCTGGTGATCGGTGGAAGCAGTCTCCGTTTTTCAAAAGAGAAGGACTTAAGCATGAGAGATGTAGAACCTTCCTTGGAGTCTTGAAGGGCACCAGAGTCTAGACGTCCTGAAGCACCTGCTCTTTCTCCCATTTGCAGAGAGAAAATACCAACGAGGCACAAAAGAAGTGGAGGGAGTGGGGGGCAGGGTTTACCTCAACCAGAGTGCAGACACCTCTACCTAGAGTCAAAAAGGGCCTGAAAGTATGACACACACACTTATACCAAGTGAATTTTAAGAGCCACAAACTTAGATGTACAAAAAAGTGTCCTGTGATGGTCAGTTTTATGTGTCAGCTTGGCCAGGCTATTGTTTAATCAAACGCCATTCAGGTTGTTGCTGCGAAAGCACTTCGTAGGTGGGGTCAACACCTGCCCCTGGTTGGCTTTGAGTAAAGATTACTACTGGTAACAGGGGTGAATCTTCTCCAATCAGTTGGAGGCCTTAAGACTGAAAAGTGAAGTTTCCAGGAGAAAAATTCTGCCTCAAGATGGCAGCATGAGTGGCAATACCCAGGGGCTGGAGAATGGGGAGTTAATGTTTAATGGGACAGAGTTTGTTTGGGGTGATGGAAAAGTTCTGGAAATGGGTGCTGGCAATGGCTGCACAACAACGCGAATGTACTTAATGCTCCAGAGTACACTTAAAAATGCTTAGAATGGTGAAGGTCATGGTATGCCCATTTTACCTCACACACACAGTAAGACCACAGCATCAGCTCCTGCCCAAGTGTCCACCCTTCCAGCCAGTCCCGCTGATTTCAGACCCGCCACCCTATTGCAATACATCTCTTAATGTATCGGTTCCATTTCCTCGGAGAACCCTCATGGATGCAATAATGTTTTCTGTTTCTTACAGGTGATCTCTATTTTTAGCCATTTGGTAGCTGAAACCCTAATATTATAATCCTGAGTAAATTGGATCTCTGGTTTAAAATCATCTTATTTTGTGGAACCAGCTCCTCT